ATTAATGTTCTAATGAGGCTTGTGGGCATTGTAGAGGGAACATAAAACATATATGTTCCTGGGAGTCTTGTCTTTCAGTGATGGGGTCATAATATTTTGTAGCTTAAACAATTGAAAAGATAGTCAAAATTTTTGGAAGAAAACAGAAACCGCTCTGTTTATTAACCACCGTATCTGACGTACCCCAGTTCTATAACCAAGCACAATCATTTGTATTCATTCAGAGTTTCGCTCCCTATTTTTTAAACAGCGACCCAAAGTTTTGGGAAATGCTGCCATAAACATTTTCCCACAGGGTTTTCCCCATGGTTCTATTTTAAAATCATGTTCTCAAAAAATTTAGAGAACGTTAGAAACAACGTTTTTTCTGTGGGAATTTCAGTACTTCAGCCCTAACGTTTTCTGCAGGCTTCCTCATGGTTTTTATTTAAAGAATGTTCTCAGAACAAATTAAAAAACTTTTTATGAAATCCACATGAAAACATGAGTAAATTCAAAGAATGTTTCTAATAATGTTTTTTAAAAAAAAAACAGAATACATTTCATTCTTAGCATCAACAAACTCTGACTATCCTCTATCTTGTTAAGTGTGTTAGGTGTGTTGGCCACTTCCACTAAATTTGGCCCCCACCTTATCTTAATGAGTGCTTTTTTCCTTTGAAATAGGATCTGTTTGAATAAACTAAAATGAACAGCTTTGTATGAGTAAAAAAACACATGGCATGCTAGCTCCATCCTGGTGCCGCAGTGGACTAATTCCATGGATAGACCAAAGATCATAGGTTCGAATCTTTAAGACGCCATGCCACAATAAAACTTTAAGGGGGTTTCCCTTGATTACTGCCTAGGAAAATGAATTTCTATCTGTGCTTGGATTTTCACAAAAACTAAACTAGCAGTGTTATTTTAAAGTCTTTTTAAACATGTTCTCAGAACATTCTTTAATTACCCCCAGGAAAACATTCAGGGAACCATAGTAAAACATTACTGAACCTCTTTGCAACAAAAGAAATGTATTTTCCCAGTATAGGAGAATATTTCACTTTCGTTAAAAAGCTTTAATGGTCGGGAAACGTAAGGCTTCGTTCCCAGAACCAATGGAAAACCAAAAATGTACGTTCCCACAACCTCCAAGGAAACAAATGTGCTAGCTGGGATATCACAGTCAAATATACAGGATAGGAACTTACATTTCAGCTAAACAATGGATTCATAGCATTATGCAACAAAAAAAAATGAAATTCTTCTAAATCTAGGAATTAAAAATCTGAGAACAGTATTTTTACAAACACATGAAGGTACCCATAAGCAAAACATTTCTGATGAAATAAAAAGATGTGAAAATATGTGGATATATTGTTTTGGAAATAAACCTTTCAAATACTTCTCCTGATCAAATCAAATGATGTCTACTGATTGACAGATGGACCTTTACTTTCCTACATACGAGGCTGGATTTCAGTCAAACCTTAGTTTTTCCACGCTCTCTTTTTTTAGTAAGAAATCCCAAGCTCACACACTAATTCTGAAAAGCATCAAACCTGTTAGAGGAGTCTGAAGTTGGATTTTTTAAGTAGTGAAAAACATTAATGATTTTATTTGATCAGGGGAAAATTAGCTGCTGGGGCAAGCACTGCAAGGCAGGTAGACGAATTGAGCCATGTAATGATGATGAATGAGTTTTCACCCTTTTCAGCGTAAGAACAGACATATCCCCATGCCATTTCACCTGAACAAAAATCATTAGTGATGAATAGCACACAGATCAGTGCCTTCAGAAAGTATTCATACCCCTTGACTTATTCCACATTTTGTTGTGTTACAGCCTGAATTCAATATAGAATACCAAAAAATAAAAATAGCACCCAAATACCACCAAATAACCCCCCTATTGACAAAGTGAAAAACGTATTCTGCACATTTTTTGAAAATAATACAGAAATTTTTTTTCCTTACATTTAAGATTTTCAATGCC